GTATTTGCGATTGATAAGAATCATCTATCCATACAAATTAATCATCATCTGTTTTCAAACATTGCATCATTATGAACGTTAAAAAAATTCCCGAGATAAAATTGCGATAAAGTTGTAACAAGTCTATTTTCATATGCCGTGAAGAGTTCGTCTACCATTAAATAAAATTTTGAATTAATATTTTTTCTGTAGGTGTGAATTGTAACCGAAGGCCGGTGCAACCACTGCGACCGCACCGGTCAACACAATTTAGAAACGGTAGGTTTTTTTTTTTTTTTTTTTTTTTTAAATTCACGGAATTATCGGGCTGCAGAATTTTGGTGCTACAAAGGTTGCACCGAGTAGCAGAGTGCTCTGATTGTAATCATACTATTACAAGTACTTTTTAATGTTGTTCCCTTTCATGCTCTCATACTGTATTCCATCTTATAGCATAACAAGCAATTAAGTGACTGTCTTAAATTGTAGTGCATTAATATTTTAGGTACGAAGGAACAGTGGTTCGATTTTACTTTCGAAAACATATGTTCTTCAATTTTATGTGCAAATATCAGATGCTTAATATTAGGGAAATGACTTTAGGGAATTTTTGTTTCACATATACTATTGATCATCCCTTTCATGGCCTGTATGTTTTAAAATAAAATATTCAAAACATTTTATTTGAGAAAAAATATTCAAAAAGTTCTGAGAATGATCTGACATAAGTATTCGGATACTTTGAGCAAACGGCTTCCATTTATGCTTCTATTAAATGGTCATTCAACATTTATTTTATCAGATATCGTATAACTGAAAAGGGTGCTTTCCCGTTTTTAGAAAGATTTCGATAACGAATTTATAAAAAAACAAATATTTTAGAAGATACATTTCTTGGTAACAGCTTATTATTTAATATAATAACTACTGACTGTTATTTTTAAATTTATTCTTCCTTCAAAAAGTCGCATGTAAAAAAGCTGTGGATTGAAGGATATGTTTTTACACTTTTCGAACAGAAATATTCCTATTCCATAATTAAAACACGTTGTAAAATGTATGGAAAATAATCATCATTAAAGGAAAAGGAAAAACTATCAATCATTACTTTTACATCAAAAGAAGACCACAAACGAATATCCCGAAGAAAGTAAATGCTGATTCTAATGTTTCTAAAGTTAAATCGCTGGTAACAAAATAATGTCCGCCTATGCAGAAATCAATTTTAGTCATTATATAGATCTATTCCGATTTGAATAGACAATTTTCTCTACCTTTGAATGGCAACACGAAAATCAGTAGAAGAGCATTGATTTAGAGAACGCTAATGGCAACAGTGGGAACTTTGGAACTTACTGTCGATTTGTTTGATGCAGCTTGAATGCTGAGATATTTAATAGATTCTAGACTAGATTAACTTGTTTTAGTATTCTAATAAAGTTCTTTTTATATTAAATTGAATGTTGGTTTTGATAGAAATATCACTGAACAACACATTTATAAATTTATATGCGGCATTTATATTTATTGTTGAAATTTGTTTTGTTTACTGAACAACATTTGTAGCAACAATAAATAAAATAACCCAAGATTTAGAACTTAAAAAAGCTAAAAAGCATGTTCACCAGCTTTATCGAGGCATGCGGCCCAACACAAAACAATTTGTAGAACCCTTTATGAAAATTATTTAACAGGAGATAAATATAAATACATTGTGATCCTTGATGAAGGGCGGATTTACCTAAATAACTGCAACTGAAACGTCAACTTATTTTCGAGAAAGAAGAGAAAAAAATGTACAAACCTCGGTTTCGGCAATGTAAAGAAAGTTTCTATAAGGTTTTATGATTTTCGCAAGCTTGTCTTACAGTAAGACATTAAAAATAAGAATAGTGGGAAAAAAACGTCAAAACATATTGTTACGAAATGTCCAGGCGTGGTGAGGTAGCTTCACCCCAAAGCAGTTTTAGGGTTGCCATAAAATGGCAAGATAAGGCTGGGTTGCCACGTTTGGCGAGAAATCGTCCATTTGGTGACATTTGGCGGTATGCCATGGGCGGATGGAGAACCTTCTGGAACGAATTCTTACCGGTTTAGCCCAGAATGTTCACGAACGTCAGCCAAAAGCTTTATAAACCCTGCTGGTATGCGGAGAGTTAGTTAGTATCGAGTTGGTGTCTCGTCTAGCGAGTCAATCCCTGCGGAGTCGATCAAGTTGACAGCCGGGCAGCGAGTGCCGAGTGGGTCGTCGAGTGCACCGATATAGAGTCTCGTAGTGTATCGCGGTTAGTGCATCGTCAAGAGAGCGTGTTGAGCTCCGGGAACGACTGAACCGAAGAGTCGGGAGCTGTGCTCTGTGTGTCGTCGAGTGCATCGCGAGTTGTAACGTGGAGAGTCTCGACAGTACGTGGAGTTCCGAGAAGTATTAAACAGAGTCGGGAACTGTACTCTAGTCCTTTGCCGTGAAGCTGTCTCCACCGTGATAGCCTGATAATCTGGAGGCTGTTTCGCTGATCTTTGTCAGCGTGTTTATAGAAGTTCATCGAACACTGCGAAAACGTGTTTTGGAGCTGTCCTGACAATACTGGGCAATAAAGTGTGTTTCAATATTCCATCAAGAAGTGTTGTCATTATTCACTCCAAATCCGCACGAACCCCGTAACGAACGTACCAAAGGAAGAAAATAACGTAACAATTGGTGTCAGAAGAAGAAAATTACGTAACAATTGGTGTCAGAAGTGGGATTTGCGAGTGAATGCCAATGAACAGCCCGCAGAGGAAAGCTATGGCGGAGGAAACGAAGACTTTGATGAACTTCTTAGCCGAGATTTAAGCCGGACAGGAAGAGATGAAAGCCGAACTGAAAGACTTAAAAGCTGGATATGCTGAGATAAAATCTGGATATAAAGATATGACAGCTGAGATCAAAGCCGCACTGAAAGAGATGAAAGCGGAATTAGAAGATAAAAAAACGCAACGAGAAGAAATAAATGTCAGCCAAGAAAAGGTGCGAGAGCAACTCCGGCAGGTGAAAGGGGAGCTTACAGAAGAAACTAGAGCCATGAAAGACGATGTGGAAATGAGTGAAGTGGCATCTGAAGAAGCAAAGGATAAAGAAAGTAGCTAATAAACTGCCTGGAAAAAAAAAAAAAAAAAGAGAGAGATCAAGAAATGATGGATGAAACAATCTAACAGGATTAAAAGGATAAACAACGAAAACATGAAAAATAAATAACAGACGGTAAAGAAGACTTTTGATTCTTCAAGTGCCTGAAGTAGAGATAGAAGAAAGTGAAAATGCCACTGTCAAGTTCGTAGAAACTGATAGTGAAGTTATGAAAACGCAATCAGCAAATGTTGAACCATCTGAAAGTGCATGTGATGCAGAGATGGGAGAAGCTGATGTACAGCTTCAGCAGTGTGCTCCAGTATTGCCAGAAAATTCACCCACCTCGCAAACTAGGTGTGCGCCTTGCGCATGCCTTCAGGCTTTCGTTAGAATAGTTATATTCTTACACTGATGCATATAATTTTCTAGAAAATCTAAATTTTCTATCCTAGAGACCGCGAAGCATCTCCAAATCATTATACCTCTGCTATTAGTAGCAAGGGTAATTTTTTTTTAAGGCTTTTTCTACAGACTAATTATAATTTCTACAGACTAATTCTCTGATCCAAATATGGTAAATTTTCACTTGTCTGCCAAGGTAACACACTGATACAATATAATAAATCTTTTTTCACCACTGACTGCGCAAACGCCAGGCATCCTTTTCTTGCTTTTTTGTTAACGAAGAAACTCTTTTTTGGGATCGCCCATCGTATGATCCCTTAATCATCCCTTAATGAATCTCTTAACGGTTTCAGTGGTAAATTTTATTGCACATTGCACTTCTAAATCAGCTACAAGTTTTAATGCACTATTATTCTAGACTTGTTTAATTTTCCCTCAGGACAAATACCCGATGCCCTGGTGCTAGCTTAGAATGTAGTCCAGACTTCAATGCATTTTCAGCAATTCCGTGTAGCTTTCATCATTTTAGAACATTAAAAATAAGGATTTTTTAAAGATATTTTTAATACTTTTATCATCTTTAAAATGGCAGATAGTTAATTTTCGAATAGAGCTTGTTAATTTGCAGTCTTGCCATATTGTGTATGTATTGAAAATACGGCAAAGCACACTAGGGCTATCTGCCTAAGGGGAGGGATGCCTTCGTGGAGGACTTTCTAAGGGGAACTGGCTCGTATACACGTTACACATGGGGAAAACCACGAAAACGCCCATGCAGCCAGCCCGTTCGCGGGATTCGAACCTCGGACCGACCTACCAGTGTTCAGCGATTTTACCGCTCGGCCGCTGGTGGGCCTTGCCATATTGATTTGCGACATGACAATATTAATATATTTTGCTAAATAAGTAATAATTTCCAAATGCAGACGATAATTCTTGTAAAGTATTTTTATTTAAAACAAAAAAGCGTGACAAGAAAAATCGCTTTTTAAAACATCTCAACAAACGTTCGAGTATCCGAATTATTATGTAAGTTACTGATTAACACTTTTGGAATAAATTATTTGATAGCGAAGAAATTTTGATGATATTTGTTTTGCAAAAACAAGTCTTAAAATGAAAGAAAAAATAATACATTAGGAAAAATTTTGCAGTCCATATATATAATATTTAGCACCAGATCTCTGGAAATAAATTTAAAAATACGAGTTTCAGAAAGCAAATGTCAGCTACTGTAATTTAAATTCGTTTCTATTTTGCTACGTATGTGAATAGATTTCCATTCGTATGTTTATTAAGTTCGTTCTTTGGGTTATACAACAACAGTTCCGATTGCATAAACGCAGTTTATATTATCGGAAAAGTAAAGGAAATAATTTTATTTCAATCTTTCTTACTTTTAGTTTCAGTTGATGTTCTCCATATTTGATATCTAAAAAGCGAATTACAGCTGCAACGAGAGTGGCATTTATCAAGCAACAGTTATCATATATTTCGATAACTGGAACTTTAATTGCGTTTTATCTTTTAGTTTTGCTTTTCATCAGCAGTGATATAAAAAAGCACAACATTGTGATAGTATTATTCATTGTCGTTGTATACAAAGTATCAATTAGAGTGATTGGAGGAAAAAGCGCTTTTCAAAGGAGTTCTTCGGTAGGTAAGTTCGTATAATTTTGTTCTTGATTCTTATATTTTAAATCAAAAATAGTTTTAGATTTTGTAAAGTTATTTGTGCAAACTGGATGGTTAAATGTTACGTAGAAAAATGAAAAATCGGCCCTAAATTGACTTATTTCACTTTCAAATGTGGCGACAAGATGAAGTAAGTGTTTTATATTTTTTCAAAAATAAATAAATAAATAACAAGTAAATTATTCTGTGAGACTTCCAGCGGCTTGTTATTCAAAACCAGTTTCAATTATAGGAGATTTATCTTATGAAAAATCAGACAAAACTCTAGAATTCGCACTGTAAGACTTTCATTGAATTTAGCAGAATGGTTTACTATAAAAGTTCACCCTGAAACCCTTAGAAATGTCATTAGAGCACATGGCTACAATGGATGATTACCAAGAGGGAAATTCTTTGTCATCAAGAAAACAATGAAAATACTTAAGTCATTCGCCAAATCCATGGTAAAAAAAAAATGTATCATATTGAAATAATGTTATATTCACAGACGAGGCAAAATTTAATACATTTAGATCCGATAAACGACTTGGTAAGGTGGAAGGCAAATTAAGAGTTGAATCTGAAAAATCTATTGCCTACTCTTAAACTTAAAAGTGGAAGCATAATGGGTTTCTTATGTTTCGCTTTCTTTCTTATTTTAATTGAAAATATCAGTATAAATATATAAATATTCTTAATCAAAAACTGAAACCATCTACAATTAAAATTGTAATGCATACATTCGAATTCTATCAGGATAACGATCCAAACATGCAGCCCTGAATGTTCTTTATTAAACAAGTGTCCTGAAGTTAGACAAACTCGTCCATATTCTTTTTATTTAAATCCTATCGAACATGTGCGGAGTGAGTCAGAGTAAAAAATAAACAAAGATGACATTTCTTCGAAAAGCTTTAAAAATAAAAAGGAATTCTTACGGAGGAATGGAACAAAATAGAATATTTAAACTGGAAAAAATCATTTAAATCCCTGCCAGATTGCATGAAAAGTGTAATTATAGTTAAATGATATCAAACGAAGTTTTGGATCTCCTTCCGCTTTCTTTTTTTTTCCTTTTCGCTTTGTTTTCATTAAGTATAAAGTGTTTCTTTAAAGTGTTCGAATACGAATATATTAAGAAAGTTCATTTTTAGAACTTTTCGAATGATTATTTTTTTTTACCAAAAACATTTTTAATAAACTTTTTCAAAATAAGCGGCTTTAAAAAAAAGTTTGATCAATAGTATATGTGAAAGAAAGACAAAGCCATTTTGCTATTATTTAGTAACTGATATTATAAAATAAAATTGAAAAATGTACAAGTCCAAAAACAAATGAGCCGCTATAAATATGTAAAATTAAGCCACAGACATAGTTTCAGAATTAATTTATCGTACAAATGATTATTTGATGTTATACGTCCCCTTAATGCTAGAATTCTAATTATTGTATTTTTCATGAATCCGAAAAGGAAATAAAAATACAGGGCAAAATTGCATGGAGTTTTTTTTAGAGTTAATTTGTGGGATAAACTATTCTGTGAAGCTCTGTATCCCTTTAATGTCTGAATTGCAAGTATATTTCAATAACATGAATCTGGAAAAAAAATTAAAATGGGGGAAAAAAAAAGATCACCGATGTGTTGCGTTTTTTCTTATTCTGTCCAAAACATTTTTTTAAATCAGCAAAAGAAAATTTTTATAATATCAGATGGGATTCTTGAAAGGTAAATCATTCTTAGGCAAAATTTTGTTTCGTATGCTTTTATTGATAAATAAAATAAAAAATACTAAAATTAAACTGTGTATTGTATAAATAAAGAAATTTAAACACATTTCATTCATGATCTCGTGTCATGAAAAAGATAAATTTTTCCCAATTTACTCACTTGGATAAAGAAGTAAGCAATATCCCGAAAATTTGAACATGATTATAAAAAGACGCCCGGAGAATAGCAAAAAGGATAAAAAAATAAAGAATATATTTTTTAAAAAATTGCATTTACATAACAGTAATAGAAAATCGATGACTAGTCTTCAAACGATTTTTTTAAATTTTAGTGCCTGAGAAATTAAATTCTTATAATCTAATAAATTATTAATTGTTTGGGTTCATCCTTAAGAATTTAATAAATTATCATTTTATTTAGGTTCATTCTCAGTGTCCAACTAACTTGTTAATTTATTTAAATTGGTAATTCACGATATTTAATATAATTTAGATTATTGTGATACTCTTCATGCTATGCCTCTTTATTGCGTTTTGTGTTACAGGTATGCTACATTTATCGTTCTATTTGTTACGAATGTGGTACATTTAAAAAAAAAAAAATTCTAAGCTTACAGTATTTTGAAAACGTAGTGCTGAATGTTTACTAGACTGTAATGTGTATTGGTCAGCTTTTTATTGCTAAATTAAGGCTGTTTGTTAAAATTTTAAGCGAAGCAATTGAAGCAGTTTTTAAGAAATAAGATTTCTTGTTATGAAATCAAAATAAATCTGAAAAAATAACCTTTCATAATTTGTAGGAAATTTTGTCATTTTAGATTTATTATTGCATTTATAATAACCATGAATTGCCATGACCTTACCATGAATGGGGACCAAGGGTCCCAGCTCATACTAGGAGAAACAGCCCCAGACCGTAATTCCACCTCCGCCGAACTTGACTGTTGGCACAATGCATTCTGGCAAGAGACGTTCTCCAGGTAGACGCCAAACCCAGACCCTGCCATCCGAACGGTAAAGGGTGAACCTTGATTCGTCACTCCAAAGAACCCGTTTCCACTGATCTACGGTCCAATTTCGATGTGCTTTGCACCACATTAACCGAGCAACGCGGTTGGACTTTGTGATCAAAGGCTTATGGGCAGCAGCACGACCATGAAAACCAAGCAGATGTGCTTCCTTACGGATGGTATTCATTGAAACAATACTCCCGGATGCCTGTTGAAACTCCTCTCGGATGAGGGCCATCGGTTGGGTGCGGTTCTTCCGAATTTCTCTGGACAGCACTCGTCGGTCTCTATCTCCCAGTTTCGTTGGTCTGCCGACTCGGGGCACATTTCGACAATCTGCGCTCAATTTCCACTTCTTAATCACATAGGCCACTGTCGATTTTGGGTAGTTCAGATCGCTAGATATGTCCCTTAAGGATCGGCCACATTTGTGATACCCGATAATTATACCTTTCTTGAAATCAGAGAGCTCCGAACTGCGAGGCATCTTGCATGCGACTAAAGCCGATGCTGTTTCCTACACGATATATACCGGCGGAGTCCGTGATGTACCTTAGAACCGCAGATATCGTCATTTGCATAGGTGTCCAAATACTTATTGGTAGTCAGTGTATTTTATTTCGAAATGAAGGTCTTGTTAGCATAATCTAAAGGATTCTTGTTTCAGAAAACACTGGCAGGCTTCAGTATGGGCACGTAGCTAACTCGTAATATGATTTGCATTTAATGCACATGAAAAATATTTGCACTTTGATTAATTTTTTGTATGATCATCAGATTATGATTTAAAATTAATAAAACTTCATGAGAAAGTAAAAAATATATTTTGATCGTTTAAAAACTTATAAAATTGCTTGTGTGAAAATACTTTTGGCACAATAAATGTAACAATATTATAAATAAAGACACTAGTAAATCATAAAATAATGTCATTGAATGGCATTTAAAGAGGGAAAGATCAACCCTGAATTTTTTGTAATTTATTTAATAATTAATTTATGTAATATTAAAATGGTACATTTTGAAATTAAAAATCAAGGTCAGTTTTGTCGTACAGGAGTCATACTTTTTGCATTTAATTTTAATGAGTATAATATTTTCTTAAATAACCGAGGAAACATATAAAAAATTAGATTTCGTATGTTTTCAAAAATTGATTTTTTTTTAAATTTAGATCTCGAAACATGAGTCTTTGCGTCATTTAAAAAATTTTTATAATTGAAATTATACGTTATGACGAAAGGCTACGAAAATAACGCCTGCGTGAGGAGCTTTTTGGACATGGTATACATTTGCTTGATTTTTTACCACGCCGATCTTCATCGTAAAATTGTATTCTGTTCTATTACTTCCTGTCATTATATATATATATACATATAATGTATTTACTAATGTCACAATAATAAATTATAATGCAGTATTTCCAAGACTGGTCAAGAACGAGCAGTACTAAAAGCATTATTTTGGGGCATAAACAAATGACATAGTATGATTGTAAATTACAGACTTGATATATATAGAATCCAAATTTGAAACTAAAAACTAAATTTGACAAAATAAATAAAAAGAAAAAAAATGCAACTTTTCAGAGTTTAAATATCTCCCAAAAGAGTTTTTTAAGGTTTCGTACGCTCTCGCTGAGATCGCGGTCTACCACTCTGTTGTTCACTCACTTCTGCCAACCCATTTCATGTTGTCTTTTTAGCTTTATTATTAACCATCATTTTGTTCGCACTTACGCAATATAAAATCCAATAGCAAAATTACAAAAGTTTTAAAACCAGGATAGCAGCATATGCTTAGAATTTCCGATGCAGTGTTGACATGAATATTTTTATATTTTTTCACTCGTCTCTCAATTAATCATAACAATCTTCAGTTTTCTTAGCAAGATAGCTAGGAAAAATGTTTTTGCCTTTTTATTATTAAAGTTTTGTGTGCTAATGTTATTTATTAAACATTATTTTATTTTCTTCGGACTTACGTCATATAAAATTCAAGTCACCAGATATTGAAAGACAGCATATCTTTCGAATTTTTGATAGACAGTCTCGAGCGCTGGAGGTAAAAATGTTTCATTTCGTGCAGTGTTCATACTGCTCGCTTTCAAGTCGCTGAATTTGTTAACCAAAAATTCATTAAAGTTTTACAAAATATTAAACAGATAATAAAACAAATTCGAAATTCAAAACTCGGGCTTCGAGATGCACATGCTCGGGTAGAGGACTAAATTATTCAAAATTTGATG